GCCGCCGGCGCCGCCGGCGCCGCGGCGGCCGCCGCCGCCGCGCCCGCGGAGACGCTCGAGGACCTGCTCCTCGACGACCCCCTGGCCCTCGCCGGCGAGCTGCGGCTCTACCGGCGGCACCGGAACCGCTACCGCTGCCGCGAGGCGCGCGCGGTCCGCGGCCGCGTCGCCGCCGCGCTCCGGGGCGGCGCCGCGGCGCCGCCGCGCGGCGGCGCGGCGCCGCCGCGGCCCCGCGAGGGCCGCGACCGGGGCCTGCGCTTCGGCGAGCTCGTGACCCTGGAGAACGGCGCCGCGGAGATGACGTCCCTGCTCCGGTTCCACGCCTTCGAGCCCGCGCTCGCCGTCGTCGACGAGGGCGACGGCGTGAGCGTCTGGGACCACGAGGCCGGCGAGCTCCGCGCGCGCTGGTCCAACGGCGCCGCGCGCCTCGACGCCCGGGGGCGGCCCCCGCCGGCGCCCTTCGAGGGCGCGCCGCCGCCGCCGCCGCGGCCGCCGCGCGCGTCGCCCGCGGCCGCGGCCGCCGGCGGCGGCGCCGCGGCCGCCGCCGCGGCGCCGCGGCGGGGCCCGCGCGCGACCTGCGTCGAGTGGCTCAACGCCCAGTCGTCGACGCTGCTCCTCGTCGGCTCCGACGACGGCGCCGCGCGCATCTGGGGCGGCCTCCGCCTCGAGGCCTCGGACGACGGCGCCGCGGCCGGCGGCGGCGACGCGCCGCGCGCGCCGCCGCGGCTCGTGAGCGCCTTCGTCGCCGCCGGCGACCTCGAGACGGGCTCGCGGAGCAGCGGCCTCGTCTGCGCCTGGGCCGCGGGCGACGCGTCGCTCTACGCGGGCGGCCACGGCCCGACGCTCCGGCGCTGGGACCTGGGCGCCGAGGCGCTCGCCGCGGCCGTCGCGACGGGCACGGACGCCTGCGTGACGTCCCTGAGCCCCCTCGAGGCGTCGCCGCGCGTCGTCTTCGCGGGCTTCGGCGACGGCAGCCTCCGGCTCTTCGACCTCCGGGACCGCGCGGCCGCCGCGGGCTCGGCGCGGCCCGCGGCCGTCGCGTACCCGCGCGAGCACAGCGCCTGGGTCGTCCACACGCACGCCCACGCCGACGCGCCCCGCGAGTGCGCCTCGGGCTGCGTCGCCGGCGACCTCAAGTTCTGGGACGCGCGCGCGCCCGGCGCGAGCCTCCGCACCGTCCAGGGCAGGAAAAGAGTGCGAAATTCCCAACTTCAAAGGCTCCTATCTCGGTCGTTTTCCACTCGTTTCGGCTGATTTTTGGACGAGCGATCATCTCTCGGAACGGTCTCGAAGCGTGGATGCTTTTTCTGGAACGCGCGCGCGCGGAACACTCATGTTGAAGCGAACTTGAATCACTCTTTTCCTGCCCAGGCACCGTCGACGTCCAGAACTCGACGATGACGGCCTTCGACGCGCACGGCAACGCGCCCCTCCTCGCCTCGGGCTCCCACAACCAGTTCATCAAGTTCATGGCCCGCGACGGCGACCAGCTCAACATCGTCCGCTACCACGACGGCTTCCTCGGCCAGCGCATCGGCCCCGTCTCCAGCCTCGCGTTCCACCCGACGAAGGTCCTCTGCGCCGCGGGCTCCACGGACGCCGTCGTCGGCATCTACGCCGCGCAATAACGGGCGCCGAGGCGGGCCGACGTCTCCCGGACGTCCCGGCCGACAGTTCCGGGGGTCGGGAGCTCGGGCCGCCCGGCGGAAAGATTAAAAACTTCACGCATGCTGTTAGAAAAAAGTTTCAAGTTAGAATTCATCCACTTTATCAAAAAAGTTACCCCAACGAGCGCGCGAAAACATATCTATCGACGGCTGCCGATTGATCTTTCGTCCGCCCAACTGCGGACACTAGATCTCACACTGCGGGCTGCCTCCGCGTCGCGCGTCCGCAGCACATGGGCAACCCTATAGCAACTCCTCCTGGCAGCTGCGGCGGACCCTCACGACGCGGCTCCATCTCGAAGGAGTTGCCATAGCGCATTGTGGTTCTCGAGCGCGGCGGGCTCCACGTCCTGCGCGCTGCGCGGGCCCTAATGATCTCAGCTTCTGCGCGTCCCCGCGAGGATCAGACTGGGGTTTTGGAATCTCCGCCCCCGAGTTCCTACGGCGATGTAGGCTCGTTTCTCCCCCTGTGGGCTGGAACATGCCGAATGCCGTGTCGAAAGTTGTCCGTCCATCGACATCGACGTGCGAAATGCTGCCGAAATCAGGGTTAGTATTGATCGATTAATTCAAGAATCAATGTTGTTTGAAGAAGTTAATGTATCTCCACTTTTGATGAAGTGGATGAATAGAAAACATCATCTAGATGCAATGTGTCGGTTACTTGACGGCAAATTTTCATTTCGACGCGGGTATGGAAATGACCATCAATTGAGCCATGGTGCTATCGCTGACTCGCGTGGCGCTGGCGCTGCTGCAAAGGACCACCATGGTGCAATCGCTGACTCGCGTGGCGCTGGCGCTGCTCTGGCTGCGCTCCGAGGCCGTGCCGACGCCGCGCCCGACGCTAACGGCGCCGCCGTCGGCGTACCCGACGGCGACGGTCCCGCCGACGGCGTACTACGTGTCCCGCTCGACGCTCGTCGCGCGCTACTCCTTCGACGACGGCACGGCCGCCGAGGACGGCGACAGCAGCCTCGACGGGACCATCAACGGCGCGACGGCGACGACGGGCCGCGACGGGAGCGGCGCGCTGTCCTTCGACGGCACGGACGACTACGTCGAGTTCCCTTCCGCCGTGACCGCGGACATCCGCGGGAGCAACTCGCGGACCATCTGCCTGTGGGCGGTCATCGACGAGTGGGACGAGGGCGCGCTGTTTTCGCACGGTTCCGGGGCGGATGGTATGGAGTTCGGGATCATGGCGAAGACGTCGGGAAGCATCCAGGTCCAGCTCCACGGGGGGAGCTACGACATGGCCGTGGCGCTCTCCGGGTCCGACGACGGCGACTGGCACCACTACTGCCTCGCCTACGACGGATCGTGGACGCTCTACTTCGACGGGGCGTCCGCGTACACGTATAGCGTCGCGCTCGACACGGGCTCGGACTATGCTCTCACGCTCGGAGACCGGACGGATCGAAACGGGAACCACTTGTTCTCCGGCTCCATCGACGAGGTCTACGTCTACTCGAGCGCGCTCAACACAGGCTCGATCGAGGTCCTCTACAACGCCGTCACGCCGCAGCCGACGGTGACGCCGCGGCCAACGCACGTGTCCCTCTCGACGCTGGTCGCGCGCTACTCCTTCGACGACGGCACGGCCGCCGAGGACGGCGACAGCAGCCTCGACGGCACCATCGCTTTTTATTACGGCGCGACGGCGACGACGGGCCGCGACGGGAGCGGCGCGCTGTCCTTCGACGGCACGGACGACTACGTCGAGTTTCCCTCGGCCGTGACCGCGGACATCCAAGGGAGCAACGCGCGGACCATCTGCTTGTGGGCGGTCATCGATTCCTTCAGCAGCGACGGGGGGCTCTTCGACTACGGGACCTCCTCCGACCTGCAGAACTTCGCGCTTCGAGTGGCCGGCACGGACGGCACCCTCAAAGTCCAGCTCTGGGGCGCCGACACGGACGTCGCGCTGTCGGGGTCCGACGACGGCGGCTGGCATCACTACTGCCTGACCTATGACGGATCCGATTGGGCCTTGTACTTCGACGGTTCGCAGGCGGCGACGGGGACCGACGCGGTCAACACGGGCTCGGACCGCGCGCTCCGCCTCGGGCAGTTCTGGAATGACTACTTCTTCGATGGCTCCATCGACGAGGTCTACGTCTACTCGAGCGCGCTCGACGCGGCCTCGATCCAGGTCCTCTACGACGCCGTCACGCCGCAGCCGACGGTGACGCCGCTGCCGACGCACGTGTCGCACTCGACGCTGGTCGCGCACTACCGCTTCGACAAGGTTTTGGCCACCGAGGACGGCGACAGCAGCCTCGACGGGAGGATCCACGGCGCCGCGGCGACAACGGGTCTGTTTGGGAGCTACGCGCTGTCCTTCGACGGGACGGACGACTACGTCGAGTTTCCCTCGGCCGTGACCGCGGACATCCAAGGGAGCAACGCGCGGACCATCTGCTTGTGGGCGGTCATCGATTCCTTCAGCAGCGACGGGGGGCTCTTCGACTACGGGACCTCCTCCGACCTGCAGAACTTCGCGCTTCGAGTGGCCGGCACGGACGGCAGCCTCAAAGTCCAGCTCTGGGGCGCCGACACGGACGTCGCGCTGTCGGGGTCCGACGACGGCGGCTGGCATCACTACTGCCTGACCTACGACGGGTCGACATGGTACCTGTACTTCGACGGGAACGAGGCAGGGTCTGGCACGAGCGCGGTCAACACGGGCTCGGACCGCGCGCTCCGCCTCGGGCAGTGGAACCTCGGAGACGACAATGAAGGCTACCTCGACGGCTCCATCGACGAGGTCTACGTCTACTCGAGCGCGCTCGACGCGGCCTCGATCCAGGTCCTCTACGACGCCGTCACGGCCGCGCCGACGGTGACGCCGCTGCCGACGCACGTGTCGCACTCGACGCTGGTCGCGCGCTACCGCTTCGACAAGGTTTTGGCCACCGAGGATGGCGACAGCAGCCTCGACGGGACGATCAACGGCGCCGCGGCGACAACGGGTCTGTTTGGGAGCGGCGCGCTGTCCTTCGACGGGACGGACGACTACGTCGAGTTTCCTTCGGCCGTGACCGCGGACATCCAAGGGAGCAACGCGCGGACCATCTGCTTGTGGGCGGTCATCGATTCCTTCAGCAGCGACGGGGGGCTCTTCGACTACGGGAGCTACTCAGATTATGAGAACTTCGCGCTCCGGGTGCACGGCACGAGCGCGAGTCTCAAAGTCCAGTTATTTGCCGCCGACACGGACGTCGCGCTGTCGGGGTCCGACGACGGCGGTTGGCACCACTACTGCCTGACCTACGACGGATCAGACTGGGTCCTCTACTTCGACGGGTCGCAGGCGGCGACGGCGACCGTGGCGGTGAACACGGGCTCGGACACCGCGCTCCGCCTCGGGCGATGGGCAGGTGGGGACTACCTCGACGGCTCCATCGACGAGGTCTACGTCTACTCGAGCGCGCTCGACGCGGCCTCGATCCAGGTCCTCTACGATGCCGGGTCGACGCCCGCGCCGACGGCGACGCCGCGGCCGACGCACGTGTCGCACTCGACGCTGGTCGCGCGCTACTCCTTCGATGACGGGACGGCCGCCGAGGACGGCGACAGCAGTCTCGACGGGACGATCAACGGCGCGACGGCGACGACGGGCCGCGACGGGAGCGGCGCGCTGTCCTTCGACGGGACGGACGACTACGTCGAGTTTCCTTCGGCCGTGACGGCGGACATCCAAGGGAGTAGTTCGCGGACCGTGTGCTTGTGGGCCTTGATCGACGACTTCAGTGGCGAAGCGGGTCTCTTCGACTACGGGGCTTACTCCGACCTCGCGAACTTCGCGCTTCGAGTGGCCGGCACGGACGGCACCCTCAAAGTCCAGCTCTGGGGCGCCGACACGGACGTCGCGCTGTCGGGGTCCGACGACGGCGGCTGGCATCACTACTGCCTGACCTACGACGGGTCGGCATGGTACCTGTACTTCGACGGGAACGAGGCAGGGTCTGGCACGAGCGCGGTCAACACGGGCTCGGACCGCGCGCTCCGCCTCGGGCAGTGGAACCTCGGAGACGACAATGACGGCTACCTCGACGGCTCCATCGACGAGGTCTACGTCTACTCGAGCGCGCTCGACGCGGCCTCGATCCAGGTCCTCTACGACGCCGTCAGCACCGCGCCGACGGTGACGCCGCTGCCGACGTCGAACTTCTTCCAGGCCACGCTGGTCGCGCACTACTCCTTCGACGACGGCACAGCCGCCGACGACAGCGACAGCAGCCTCGACGGGACGATCAACGGCGCGACGGCGACGGCAGGTCTGTTTGGAAGCGTCGCGATGGCCTTCGACGGCGTGGACGACTACGTCGAGTTCCCCTCGGCCGTGACCGCGGACATCCAAGGGAGCAACGCGCGGACCATCTGCTTGTGGGCGGTCATCGATTCCTTCAGCAGCGACGGGGGGCTCTTCGACTACGGGACCTCCTCCGACCTGCAGAACTTCGCGCTTCGAGTGGCCGGCACGGACGGCAGCCTCAAAGTACAGCTCTGGGCCGCCGACACGGACGTCGCGCTGTCGGGGTCCGACGACGGCGACTGGCATCACTACTGCGTGACCTACGACGGGTCGGCATGGTACCTGTACTTCGACGGGAACGAGGCAGGGTCTGGCACGAGCGCGGTCAACACGGGCTCGGACCGCGCGCTCAAACTCGGAATGTGGGACCTTAGCTCCTACCTCGACGGCGCCATCGACGAGGTCTACGTCTACTCGAGCGCGCTCGACGCGGCCTCGATCCAGGTCCTCTACGATGCCGGGTCGACGCCCGCACCGACGCAGACGACGGTGCCGACGCCGAACTTCTTCCAGGCCACGCTGGTCGCGCACTACTCCTTTGACGCTCGCGTACGATGCGCGGACGACCACGTCGGCGACGGCAGCCTCGACTGCACGAGAAGCGGCACGAAGGCGGTGAAGGGCCGCGACGGCAGCGGCGCGCTGTCCTTCGACGGGACGGACGACTACGTCGAGTTCCCTTCTGCCGTGACGGCGGACATCCAAGGGAGCAACGCGCGAACCGTGTGTCTGTGGGCGGTCATCAATTCCTTCAGCAGCGACGGTAGCGAATACGACCTCGGCGCGGGCCTCTTCGACTACGGGGATTACTCCGACCTGGAGAACTTTGCGCTTCGAGTACACGGCACGGACGGCAGCCTCAGAGTCCAGCTCTGGGGCGCCGACACGGACGTCGCGCTGTCGGGGTCCGACGACGGCGACTGGCATCACTACTGCCTGACCTACGACGGATCGGACTGGGCCCTCTACTTCGACGGGACGCAGGCGGCGACGGGGACCGAAGCGTTGGACACGGGCTCGGACAACGCGCTCCGCCTCGGGCAGTTCTGGAATGACTACTTCTTCGATGGCTCCATCGACGAGGTCTACGTCTACGCGAGCGCGCTCGACGCGGCGTCCATCCAGGTCCTCTACGACGCCGTCACGGCCGCGCCGACGGCGACGCCGACCGCGATACCCTCAGCGACGCCGTCCGCGACTCCGTCCTCTCTCCCGAGCTCCTCCCCGAGCTCGGCGCCGTCCGCCGCGCCGTCGCCCTCTCCAAGCGCGGCGCCCTCCTCGTCCCCGAGCTCGGCGCCGTCCGCCGCGCCGTCGCCCTCTCCGAGCGCGGCGCCCTCCTCGTCCCCGAGCTCGGCGCCGTCCGCCGCGCCGTCGCCCTCTCCAAGCGCGGCGCCCTCCTCGTCCCCGAGCTCGGCGCCGTCCGCCGCGCCGTCGCCCTCTCCGAGCGCGGCGCCCTCCTCGTCCCCGAGCTCGACGCCGTCCGCCGCGCCGTCGCCCCCTCCAAGCGCGGCGCCCTCCTCGTCCCCGAGCTCGGCGCCGTCCGCCGCGCCGTCGCCCTCTCCGAGCGCGGCGCCCGCCTCGTCCCCGAGCTCGGCGCCGTCCGCCGCGCCGTCGCCTTCTCCGAGCGCGGCGCCCTCCTCGTCCCCGAGCTCGGCGCCGTCCGCCGCGCCTTCGCCCTCTCCGAGCGCGGCGCCGTCCCCATTCCCGAGCTCGGCGCCGTCCGCCGCGCCGTCGCCCTCGCCAAGCGCGGCGCCGTCCTCGTTTCCGAGCTCGGCGCCGTCCGCCGCGCCGTCGCCCTCGCCGAGCCCGGCGCCGTCCTCGTTTCCGAGCTCTTCGCCGTCCGCGGCGCCGTCGGCGTCCCCGAGCGCCTTGCCGAGCGCCGGACCGTCGCCCCTGCCGTCCGCGGCGCCGTCGGCGTCCCCGAGCGCCTCGCCGAGCGCTCTTCCGACGATCGTGCCGACGGCTTCGTTCATCGAGATCACGAGTATGGGCACCGAGTCGACGTGCGTCGCCGACGTCGAATGCGAGCTCCTCTGGGTGTACCGCGGCGACTCGAGCGCCTGTGCGACCTTGACCGCCCTCTTCACAGATCCAGACGGCAACGTCGTCCAGACGGCAGACATCTTGGACAACGACGGCCAGGTGACGCAGGTGGTTTCCGGCGACGCGACGGTAAACGAGTACACGCTGACGCTCACGTGCGATGGCGACGCCTCCGTGACGGACTCCATCGATTTCCAGGTGTCGTACTCGTCCGCGCCGACGATGATGCCGTCCAGCAGCTGGCCCAGCGCGGTGCCGTCGGCTCTGCCGAGCACGGGGCCGTCCCCATCCCCGAGCACGGCGCCGTCCCCATCCCCGAGCGCGACGCCGTCCGCCGCTCCGTCGCCTTCTCCAAGCGCGGCGCCGTCCCCATCCCCGAGCTCGACGCCGAGCGCCACGCCGTCCGCTTCTCCGAGCGCGACTCCGTCCGCACCGCCGTCGCCGTCTCCGAGCGCTCTTCCGACGATCGTGCCCACGGCCTCTTTCTTGCAAATCTCAAGCATTGGCACGGGTTCGACGTGCGTCCACGACGTCGAATGCGAGCTCCTCTGGGTGTACCGCGGCGACTCGAGCGCCTGTGCGACCTTGACCGCCGTCTTCACGGATCCAGACGGCAACGTCGTCCAGACGGCAGACATCTTGGACAACGATGGCCAGGTGACGCAGGTGGTTTCCGGCGACTCGACGGTAAACGAGTACACGCTGACGCTCACGTGCGATGGCGACGCCTCCGTGACGGATTCCATCGATTTCCAGGTCTCGTACACGCCCGCGCCGACGGCCAAGCCAACGACGCGCGCGCCTTCGACGAGCGCGCCGACGACGGCTGCGCCATCCACGGCCCCGCCCACCAATGTCCCGACGACGGCCGCGCCCAGCACAAAACCGCCCACAACGCGCGCGCCGTCGACGGCCGCGCCGACGACCGTCGCGCCGACGTTGAAAACCGTCGTCGCGCCCACCGCAGCCCCGCCGACGACGCTCGCGCCGTCGACAAACGTCGCGACAACGGCCTCGCCCACGACGCGCGCGCCGTCGACAAACGTCGAGACAACGGCCTCGCCCACGACGCGCGCGCGGTCGTTTCTTCCAACGCTCTATCCCACCATCGTGGCGACCACCGGAGACACATTCGAGGTGAATGGCAGCGCCACTTTTGCCGGCATGACCGCTGAGGGCGCGGCGGCGAACGAGGGCGTCTTTCGTGTGGCGCTGGCGGACGTCGCTGGCGTCGAGAACGACGACTCGCTCGCGCTCGAGTTCTCGTCCGGAACCCGGCGACGCCTCGATGAGGCCTCGTCGTCATTCGAAATGATCTACACCGTGGCGGTTGCGGAGAACGCGGCTGCGGAAAGCGTGGCGTCGAACATCGACGCGGTGACGATCGACTCCATGGACAGCGCCATTGCTGCCGCCGCCGAGAGCGCCGACCTCGCGGCGGCGTTCAGGAACCTTACCACGATTCGCGTCTCGGCGGCCACTATCTCTACGACTACGATCGGGCCTCCGACGCCGCCGCCTTCCGCGCCGCTGAATCCGTCTCCTACACCGCAGCTTGCTACTCCTCGACCGACGGCGTGTGATGACAGCGCGTCTTGGTACAAGAAAGGAAAGCCGTCGAAGGACTGTCCGTGGGTCGCCGGGTTCCCAGAGGACCGCTGCGCTGTCGTTGGTGACGACGGCTCGGTCGGCTACGAGGCCTGCCAGCGCGCGTGCGGGTGCTCGTCCCCGCCCACAGCCGCTCCAGTATCTCCGACGCAAGCGCCGGTCCATCAGCCGGCTCCGTCCCCGACGGTGGTGCCTGGGAACCCGACCACTTCACCCGTCATCGTGCCGACATCGCGTCCAACTACGCCCTGCGTTGACAGCGCGTCTTGGTACAAGAAAGGAACGCCGTCGAAGGACTGTCCGTGGGTCGCCGAGTTTCCTGAGAATCGCTGCGTTGTCGTTGGTGACGACGGCTCGGTCGGCTACGAGGCCTGCCAGCGCGCGTGCGGGTGCTCGTCCCCGCCCGTGGCCGCTCCTGTGCCGAGTCCGACCCCGTCGCCGGTGGTCGCGCCCGGAAACCCGACGGCCGCTCCTGTGCTGAAGCCGACACCATCGCCGGTGGTCGCGCCGGGAAATCCAACGGCCAGTCCAGTGACACCGTCGCCGGTGGTTGCGCCCGGAAACCCGACGGCCGCTCCAGTGCTGAGGCCAACCCCGTCGCCGGTGGTCGCACCGGGAAATCCGACGGCCGCTCCTGTGCTGAGGCCGACACCGTCACCGGTGGTCGCGCCCGGAGATCCGACGACTACCCCCATTCCTGGGCCGACACCGTCGCCGGTGGTGGCACCCGGGATCCCAACCAACGCTCCCGCGCCAAGACCGACGCTGTCGCCGGCGCCGGCGCCGACTACGTTCCCATCCCCGAGGCCTCTTCCTATGCCAACGGCGGCACCATGGAATCCGTCTCCGGCACCAACTGCTGCGCCGATCCCGGCTCCCAGTCCTCAACCATCGCTGCAGCCTATCCCGTCGCCGTCGCCAAGACCGACGCTGTCGCCGTCGCCAAGACCGACGCTGTCGCCGGCGCCGGCGCCGACGACGTTCCCATCCCCGAGGCCTCTTCCTATGCCAACGGCGGCACCATGGAATCCGTCACCGGCACCAACCGCTGCGCCGATCCCGGCTCCCAGTCCTCAACCATCGCTGCAGCCTATCCCGTCGCCGTCGCCGGCGCCGAGCCCGGCTCCGATCCCGCTGCCGACGACCCACGCTCCAAGCCCCGCTCCGAGCGCTCCGCCGTCGTCGGCGCCGTCCTCCTCAATCCCCAGCGCCCTGCCAACCACGTCGACGCCCACGACGGCCGCGCCCTCGGCGCAACCGACGTCGATTCCCAGCGCCGTGCCGACGCCCGCCCCCACGCGGGACACGGTGTCCCTGGAAATAGCTCTCTACACCCAGACGGCAGACAGCAGCTACGCAACGGCAGAAGACTATTGCGACGACTATTACAGCGCGCGGATCGATGAGATCGAGGAGGCGGTCGTCTACGGCTACATCGACGAAATGATCGCGCGGAGCGGATCCAGCGCCAACGAAGACAGCCTCGCCAGCATCGAAGCCATGTGCTCCCCGAATGGGACAAACGCGACGGACCCCGGGGAGACCGTCACCGCCCTGTTCTCGATCCGATTCACGGCGTACGCGTCGTCACTCTTTTCGCGTGACGACGGCTCGACGCTCTACACGGTCAAGGAGGCGCTCAACGCGTTCTTCCAATCGAAGGTCGACTCGGGGGATTGGGCTTCGGATCGCATCGCGCAAACGACGGACGACAGTTGGACCTCGGGTTCCCAACGACGCCTGGAAGAGTCCGCTGCGGCGCAGGACTTCATTTCGCCCCAGTCGGTCATCAGCGTCGAGACCACCGTCGTCGAGACGTTGAACCCGACGAGCGGGCCGACTTTCTGGCCGACGTCGCTTCCCTCGCCGTCGCCGAGCGCGTCGCAGCGTCCCTGCATCTTATTTATCCCTCTGAAACTTTTGGCGAACGTAGGCGTCCAACCCGCGCCATCACCGACGTCGACGCCGTCCAGCGCACCGTCGGGGCCCCCGTCGATCGCGCCGAGCCCGAAGCCGTCTACGTCGCTCCCAACGACTGCTTCGGCGTATCCATCGTCGAACCCAACACCGAGGCCAACTGCGGCACCTTCTTCGCAACCGACCAGCCCGCATCCGACGTCGAGACCGTCCGCGAGGCCGACGCCGCGACCGACGCCCGCACCGTCTCCACAGCCGGGGAGCCCCAGCAGAGTGCCGGTTCCGGCGCCGACGGTGATACCGACGACTGCAAGCCCGAGCTCTACGCCCACGATGACTCCCTGCTCGGTGCTGCGCGCGCGCGGCGCCGTCGACGCGGAGCCGGAACTCTCTCGCGCTGCCTTTTCAAAGACTGGGGCCGAGCTCGTCGTTATCTTTGACGCCGCGACGGACCAGGCCGCCATGTCGGCGGGGTCGCGGTTTTCTTGCGATCAGATTCTGAGCTTCGCGGGAGCCGCCGGCTCGACGTGCTACTGGATCGACGCGCGCGAGATCAACGCCGACGTGGCCGACGCGATCGATTTCATCCCTGGCTCGAACGTGACCCTCGTCTCGGGTACGATCAAACGCGACTGCGATCCCGCCGCTGAGAGATGCGACTGCGACCGCTACGCGAACGCGTCGGTCGCGTCCGCGGCGCCGCCCGATCCGCCGCTCATCCCCGAAGCTTTTATCGATGGACCGACGACGGCCGCCTCGTGCGAAGACCTCGCGGTTGGATCGTCGCAGTCCACGGGAGGTGGCGGTCGCTCGATGGTCTACGCATGGAATGCGACGGCGATCTTGCGAGAGGACTTCGCAGCCTCCGCGAACGCCAGCAACGCGACGGCCGCGATGCGTTCCACGTTGGCTTCGGTTATCGACGCGGCGAATACAGGCACGGGAAATCCATCGTTTCTGGTGTCGTCCGAGGATCTCGTTGTCATGGCCGACGGCGGCCTTCACAGCCTCGAGGTGACGCTGGTCCTCGCGAATTTCCTCGGAGGCACGAGCGCGCCGTCGGCGCCGTTCCTCGTGCAAGTTCGCACGGACACGCCTCCTAATCTCGAGATCGTCGGAGGGACACTTGTCTCGATGACACGACCGACGGCACTCTCCGTCCGAGCGAACGCGATCGCGACCTCGTGCGATGGGCGCCCCCCGGCCGAGCGCGCCGTGACTATCCAGTGGGTCCTCAGCAGATTTCTCGATGACGGCAGCCTCCTCGTCACGGACTGGACATCCACGTCCAACGATCAGCGCTACTTCAAGCTTCCCGCGTATACTCTGGAGGCCGCGACGGACTACGAGCTCGCCGCGACGGCCGCCGACGTCGAAGCGGGCACGAACGTGACGTCTACGGCCACCATATCCGTCGGTCGGGCCGAGATCGTCGCCGTCATCGCAGGAGGAAGTCGCGTGCTTCCCCTCGCCGGAGTCGTGGAGCTGAGCGCGTCCGAATCGTACGACGAAGACATCGACGACGCCTTCGGCGCGGACGCCGGCCTCTCCTTTGCGTGGGCTTGCGACGACGCGGCGTGCGATGCCGCGCTGAATAGAGCCGCGAGCGGTGATGCGGAAAGCATCTCTCTGCGGGGAACCGATATCGGGGTCGGGAGCTTCGCGGTCTTGCTCAACGCGACGGCCGCGGACGGAAGGTCTGGGACCGCGCACGTGACCTACGAGCTGGTCGACGGCGACCCGCCGGCGGTCGCGATCGAGTCCAGCGTCGGCGCGCGCGTCGCCGCGTCTACGAAGGTCATCCTCTACGGCGCCGCGTCGCCCTCGAGTTTGGGGAACGACGTTCCGAGTTCGCGCGCCTTCAACACGACGTGGACCGTCGCCAGGGGCGCGCTCGAGGGCGCGGCTCCGCTCGCGTACTGGGCGAGGACCGCTCCGGCGCTGTCGGGTCCGGCTCGGGACCGCGACCACGATCTCGTGCTCGCCTCGGGTTCGCTCGTCGCGGGGGCGTCGTACACGCTGCGACTCGAGGCGACTCTTCAATATGGCTCCGTCGACGGCGCGGCGTCCGTGAGCTTCTTCGTCGCTCGGCCGCCGTCCTCGGGCAAGCTTATCGCGTCGCCGTCCCGCGGCTTTGCGCTCGAGACCCAGTTTACGCTCGCCACGCACAGCTGGGTCACGCAGGACGCGCCGCTGCAATACGCGTTCAAGACGCGCGCTCCGTCGGCGAACGCGACAACGGAGAGCACGTTGCGGGCTCCGACGCGCGAGGGATCGCTCGCTGGTGTCGTTCTCCCCGAGGGTTCGCCGAACGTGACCCTCGTGGTGGTGGCGTCGGACGCGCTCGGCGGGTCGGCGGAGGCGACGACGTCCGTGGCCGTCGCGCCGACGGGGCTCGCGGGCGCGGCGCTCGCGAACCTGACGACGGGCCTCTTGGACGCAGCATTTTCGCTCGGTAGTGGAGAGGGCGTCTGCCAGACCGTCGTTGCCGCCGCCACGGCCGCGAGCGGCGACGTCGCGCTCACGTCGACGATGATCGACGCCGTCGGCTCCGTCGTGAGCGGCCTCGACGTGGACGCGTCGCTCGTCGAGCAGACTTCGTCGGCGCTCCTGTCCGTCGCGGCGAACGGCTCTGGCCTCGCCGTGTCTGCGGCGGCGTCGGCGCTAGATTCGGCGCTGGGGCTCTCGTCGTCATCGACGGGGATCGGCATCACGGCCATCGCGGCCGCCGAGCTTGGCAACACGCTCTCGAGTCTCCTCGACAGCACGCTCTTCGTCGCGGAAGACGAAAACGGTACGAATGCGACGAGTGCGGGCGCCTCGCTCGGCGCGGCAGTAGACGGGATTCTCTCGGCCCAGCTCTACGGCGCCGTCGCCGGCGAATACGCTCAATCGATCGCGTCGGCGAACTTGCGCAGCTCGGCCCAGCGGCTCAGCCCGAACGCAACGTCTCCGGGGGAGACGCGGTCCCTTGTACTCGACAATTCCGCGTCGGCCGTGGAGCTCCCGGCGAGCCTCGCCGGCGACGGCAGCTACGACGCGTCCCTCGCCGAGTACACGTCGGACCCGTACGCGGGCGAGAATCGCGGCCCCGCGGTCACATCGAGCGTCACTCGCTTCGGCCTGTCCACGTCATCTTCGGACGAGGCTTCGAGCCGGCGTCGAGCACGTCGCCGCGCCCTCGCGGCCGCCAACGCCACCGTCGGCGCGGGCGGTCCGTCGGCGATCGTCGCGCTCGTCATCGCTGGAGGCATCGCCGGCCGCCCGAAGCCGCCCGGCGCCAACCTGACCTGCGCGTGCGGCTTCACGGGGAACGTCAGTTTCACGTGCCCCGACAACACGACGATCGATCACGCGTGCGACGGGCTGCCGGGCGTCGAGGCGGTCACGTGCCCGGCCACGGAGGACGCGTGCGCTTCGTGGAACTCGAGCTCCCAAGCGTGGCTCGCGCAGTGCGAGACCGTGCAAGGCGCCGGGGGCACGACGACGTGCGAATGCGGCGTCGACACGGCCGGCGACGCTCCGCCCCTCGATTACTCGACGAAGGAGGAGAAGACGGGCGCGGGGAGCGTCTACTTCAAGAACCTGACGGAACCGCCGGATCTCAGCCGCGCGGTCGTCATGATCTACGCGCTGCTCACGCTGTTGTTAGCTTGCGTCGCCGCGCACGCGTACGGCCGGCGCTTGGACGCGCGCGACGCGCGGCGCCTCGCGTGCCCCGATGCCAAAACTTTGAAGTACTCGTCCTCGGCGTGCAAATTGCACGCCGACGACGACCCCTACGAGGCCCACGGCGACTACGACGTGCTGATGGCCGGCTGGAAGCGGAACTTTTTTCATGCCATGGATCTCGGGCACCCGTTCTACGGGTGGTACACGCTCTACTCGGCGTCCGTCCCGCGGGGGTTCCGCGCGTGGTGTTGCGGCTTCGAGATCCTCGTGTTCATGTACGCGCTCGCGTTCGAGACGAACCTGCTGTTCCCGGACGTCGAGGAGGAGTGCGCGGCGAGGCTCACCCAGGAGACGTGCGCGTCGCTCAAGACCGCGCTGCGCGGCAAGTTCCAAGGCACGCACGTCGAGCAGGCGCCGCTCTGCCAGTGGATGCCGTGTGCGGAGGCTTGCGTCATGGAGGAGCCGGGCGACGACGAGATGAGCCCCATGCCCGCCGCGCGGCGTCCCGAGCGCGGCCCCGCGCGCCGCGACGACGGCCGCGCGCGCAGGTACTACCTCATACTCGCCGGCATGTTCTTTGCTCTGCTGCGCGCGCGCCGCGTCGCGATCGCGCAGAGCGAAGCGCGCGTCCGATGATGCCTCCTCCCCTCGCAGGCCCGTCTGCAAGATATTCGCGTACCTGGCGGAGACCTACCTCGTCGCGCCCGTGCCCTTTGCGCTGCGGTGGAGGCGGGCGTCGGAGCCGCCGGCGGGGCCGCCGGCGGCTGCGCGCGGGGCGTCGAGCCCCGAGGAGGAGCCGCGGATCACGACTCTGAAGATCGACTGGGACGAGGCGGGCGCGCCCGAGGCCTCGCCGGAGACGTTCTTGGACGCGAGCTCTCTGCCAGGGTCCGGCACCCCCGTCAAGGGCATGCCGCTGCCCGTCGTCGATGCCGGCGACCCCGCGACGGACGAGGAGGCGTTGGAGATCTTGGAGATCAGGGAGCGGGCCGGCGGCGGAGGCGAGGCGAGGGCCCGCGTCGACGCGCTCTTGACCGCGGACGCCCTGCAGGGCGGGCCGCTCGACGCGGGAGAGAGCCCGGCGCTGATCTCGGAAAGAGGGGCGGCGGGCGCGGACGGGATGCCGCCGAGTCGCCTCGGCGATGGGATGGCGTGCGGCGGGTTCGATTCGGTTCGATGCGACGCGGCGGCGTGCGTCGGGCCCGGGGATGCGGGCGCCACGTCGTGCCTAAGCTCCACGCTGGACGACGCGTTCGCCGTGCCGTCGAGGACCGCGGCGTGCCTCTTCGGCCTGGACCGGCTCGAGGACGAGGCCCCGCGCGTGAAGGTCCCCGCGGCGCGGCCCGCGGTGGCCGAGGAGGCCGCGCCCGTCGACGACGGCGACCTCGTCGTGCCCGAGATGGGGGAGTGGGTCGAGTCCCTCGTCGGCGACCTCGACGCCTGTCTCGCGCGCGAAGACGTCGAGCCGCTTGCCTCGGGGCCCGGGCGAGGCGCGACGGCGTCGCCGCGTTTGTCGCTCGCGTCGCTCGCGTCGCGCGGCATCTCGAGGGCGTCCTTCGCCGCGCGGCGGGCCACGAGCCGCCGCACGCTCTGCAGCGACAGCTCCAAGACGACGGTGCGCGACTGCGCGGAGATGCTCGCACCCACGCTCGCGCGCGCGGTCGTCGCGAGGAGCCGCGAGCTGCGGCGCGCGGCGGCCGCGGCGACGCGGAGGGAGACCGCGCGGCTCCTCCGCAAGCTCGACGCCCACCTCCTCGAGGCCTGGGGCTTTCACGAAACGCGCCAAATCTTCGTCACCAACGTCGAGGGGGCCGTCGTGAAGCGGCTCGGCCGCGCGGCGCGCTGGCACGCGGAGCTCGAGGCGCTGGACGACGCGGACGCCAAGGAGCGCGCGGCCGTCGCCTACCTCCGGGTGGAGTTACTCTCGAAGAAGGAGCGGACGGTCATGACGACGATCGCCGAGCGGCTCCAGGGCGAGCTCGAGGCGCCCGAGGAGCCGCCGGGGGCCGCGCCGTACGTCGCCGCGTGGGCCGGCGTGCTCTGCGTCGTCCTCTACTGCTTCTACTACCTCCTCACGACGGGATCCCAATTCGGGCGGAAGAAGACGCGGCTCTGGCTCGAGGCCGTGACGTTTTCCCTCTTGCTCTACTTCGTCATCATCAAGCCCGTCGTCGTCCTCCTCATCAGCGTCATCATTCCCAGGCTCGTGGCCTCGTCCGTCGAGAAGACCAGGAGCCCCCTCGACCACCCGCACTATCCCTTTGAGACGCCGCTCCCCTCGAGTTCCGTCTTCTACCTCCTCCGCTGGCACCCCGAGCTCAACGGCACGCGCATCGCGGACCACATCGCGGCCGAGGCGAGCGGCGCGCCGCGGAGCGCGCGCGACGGGCTCACGGACGCGCGCGTCGACGAGATACACGAAGCGGCGATCCCCCGGACCAGCGCCACGGCCGTCGCCGTCGCCCTCATCGCCCTCTTCTTCTCGCTCCACGAGGACATCCAGGACACGATCATCGAGGAGGTCTTCGTGTTCCTGCCGCTCGTCTCGGGCTCCATCTCGGAGCGCACGCCCGGGCTCGAATCCGCCGGGGAGGACGTCGGCGCCGCCTTCGGTATCGTCGTCTTCGGCGCGCTCGTGTACGTCGCCTGGTTGGCGTACCGCGCGTGCGGGAAGGCGACGACGCGGGCCGCGGCGGCGCTCCCGCGCCGGAAGCGCGACGCGAGCGGGCCCGCCTTCCGATGGCCCGAGGACGAGCCGCCCCCGGCGGACGTCGCCGGCGAGGACGAGAAGTCGCCGGAGGACGCCGTCGCCCTCGT